CAGTTTCATCATACACATTGGTCAATTGGTCTTATCAGTTCTGTGGAAGCCCTAAGAGGACATGCAACCAAACTTTGCATTTACTCCATTTTACCATGATAACGAGTAATTTCCAGTTGTTGTATTGAGTTCACAACTTCTTTATCTTGTTTACTCAAGATACATTTATTTGCCTTGCTCAAGGGCACCTCTGCAGTCCTTGGAGGGTAAACTGTCACCTTCCTCCAGACTTTTTCTGAACCAGGATTTGAATTGGCGACCCTCCAGTTCCCAACCGAAGTCCCTGCCGCCTGAGCTACTAAGACTTTCCTGTGATAATGAGTTCATTTGACTTATGTTTTCATGATCTCAGGATAACAAGACTGCTTCTCTTGTGATAATAATTTTTTTTATCTATCTAGAAAACAAAACAACGGGCTGGTCACTGTGATAGTCCACGACCTGACCTCGGATAAGCGAAAGAAAATTGATGGATGTAACATGAAAATAACATGAATCTTTGCAGGATGGTGCAAAGCAAACGCCCTTGACCTTTTGGATTGGACCCAGATGTAAACCAAAAATATTTTCTAAAGAGCTGAAATCGACCAAAGTGTAACACTCGGGTCACAAAGTACAAATTCTTCCTTGTGAGCATGTCGTTTTAGCTCGAAAAATATTTTTCGAAATGTGTATATTTGTAAATGGTAGATGGACTTGAGCTTGTGTAGCACTTTTTTTTAGCCTTCTGCCTACTCAAAGTGCTTTGACACCACAGGTCACACTGACACGTTCACACCACGTTCACACACTGATGACAGAGGCTGCAAGGTTAGTGTCCATCAGTGTTTACTCATCTCATTCATACACATTCACACCAAGCAATGGGAGCACCTTGGGGTTAAGTGTCCTGACCAAGGACACATCGGACACATGGCTGCAGGAGTTGGGGATCAAAGCCCGGACCCTCTGGTTGAGAGACGACAGACACTACCGCCACATACGTACATAAGAGTATAAGTGTTGTGTTGTCTCAGAAATATAGGTCAAGTATGTTCAATATTTCCAAATTAGAGGTACTTAATAAATGCATGGCTGAGATGAGGTTAATTAGCAAAACTAAATCATATTTTGACCTCAGTCCTTGTTTTTAATTCCTCATTTAAATTTGAGTATCTTTTAAAACTGGACTTGTTTGGGTCGGCCCTTCCTTTTTATGTAATTGTTTTCCAGTCTCTATGAATGTCAGTCACAGAAAGAGGTCAGAGGGCCTTTAAACACTTACCTCTAATCAGTTCAAATGTATTACTGTGTGTGTAATGAGCATGACTTTTTCCAAAGGCCTCTGGTCCGCCATCTTTGTCTGCTGTGGAAAAACCAATACTGTTCATCTGTTTTCTGACCCAGCAATCTATGTCGTGTTCCACTTTCTGCTGGGGCTTAATTAAGGGGTTATTTTGCAGCACACTTTCCCTTCATACATCGCGAGCCATGTTTCATTCAAATGATCTTCAAATAAAGCAAAAGACGCGTGAAGCGCTCAGACATGACTGTGTCATGGCGAAACAGAGGATGAAGATTTCTGACAGAGCGAGGTGATTCATGATGTGCAGCACGGATGTGTCCACCCTTAAATGTCAACCCATGAGCTTTTTTTTGTTTTTTTTTTGAAAACCATGAAATGACCAAGAACCAATTCATGTGTGGACTAATTTCAGGTGACATATTATAAGATATTCTTCAGGCAGAGTTCTGATTTAAGCTTAACTTTCTCTCTCAGACATTACCTGTCATAGTGAGTTCTCCCTCCACGCTATGAGGATTTCTGTTTGTTGTTTTGGAAGCACTAAGCAGCCCGCTGGACAATTTTTTTTTCTGTCCGACTTTATTGCTCACAAACAGCCAGTGGACATACTGTGGGTGTAACATGCATGAATATGGAACAGATTTGCATCAATAAGTAACTCCATCAACACTGATTTCCCTGCTAAGTTCCCTGCCTTTTGCTTCTGTCACTTCACATTAACAAATGGACTCGGCTATATGTCCCGCACTTACTTTACTCACTTAGATTCTTTTCAATTAAATCAAAACTTTTCTTCTACATGCTGGTCCTTTTGCAAGTCTCAACCATGTACTTGAAAAACATTCAGTATTTGTAGGACGTCTACACACCCAGAGGCTGCTGGATGATCGTTTCAGTCCTGAAGCACTCGCTGGTTCACAGCGGTGGGAGATTTAAAAATTCCTCTGCATGCTGTCGACAACTACATGAGACTTAAAGCTTTTGAGGGAGGCAACAGGCAAAGCAGCGGGAGTGAGCTCAACAAAAAGTTTAGAGAAAAGGAGAATAAAGAAAGCCTAGTTGTCAGTAATCGGAGTTGATAAAATGCTTCTGTTATTATTTGGGCGTTTATTTCTACACCTTTCCTCTGCATCCTCACACTTTCCATAAGAGGAGAAGAAACAGTGACATTAACTTAATGTGATGTTGTGCATCACTGCATCACTTAGAGGAAAGTTGCAGAAATGTGATCATTTAAAAGAAAAAAACACTTGAAATTATGAATACATTTAATGGACAGAATTGTCTGATATGTTGGAGATTGGTGCAGAGGCTGGGGCTGTTCAGAGGCAGCAAGTTGTTGAAAGTTGAGAAAATGATAAATTTTGAGTTTTTTTTAAAGATTTATTTTGGACTTTTTCGTGCCTTCAATTCAGAGAGAGGACAGTGGATAGAGTCGGAAACCAGGGAATGACATGTGGAAAGGGGCCACGAGTGGAGGCGAACCCAGGCCTACCGCTTGAGACGAGAGTTTCAAAACACATGGGATGAGCACCCTGCCACTGCGCCACCAGCGCGCCCCAAATTGTGAGTTTTTTGAGGCTGGTTTACAGGAAAATTGCTACTTCATAAGCTGACCTGGTTACATCTGTCATCATTGTACTCCTGGAGCTGCAGCTGTTAGCTTTTTGGTCACTGAATACAATTTACTTTCTATGAGATATATGTGTCCTCTATAGCCTTACACCTTCATTCATTTTATTGGCCAGCAGGGGGCGACTACTCTGATTGCAAGAGTATCAAAAATAGAAGTTGTGCGTATCTGCTACGGCAGGCTCTGAACTGTTGGGCTACCAGTGGAAGCACACACATTGATTAAAGTGAAATCTATCAGCTCTGCTGCCGTAACAGAGCGGAGACGGACCAAACAAGCATCTGGTGGAATTTGGTCACAAGGCTTCTTTTTTTGCAGGATGCCGGAGCACGGCGCATCAAAATTTACCACAGAAAAGATCGAGCGGGACGGGAAGTCAGACACCGAAATAATATTAAAACATCAGGTTTATTGTAAGAACAAAACACTCTGTTTTAACAGTTCAGAACAACGTTGTTAACGTTGTTTCATGTCTGACTTCCCGCCCCACTCGATCTTATCTGTGGTAAATTGATGCGCCGTGCTCTGGGATCCAGCAAAAATAAAAGCCTTGCGTATCTGCTGCAGAAGGAGTCAGACTGACGGAGCTGGAGACGGACCAAACACGCATCTGGTGGAATTTAGGGGTTAACATTTTTCTTTCAGGTATACAATTTCAGATTTTTCTCATTACCCACCAGTCTGCAGACTCAAATCTGAATCCAAATACCTACAAAAATGTTACTGGACACATTACCTGCAGTGCTTTCTTCTGAACAGCTGATGTTTCTGCTGAGTATGCATTTTAATTTGACCAGCAGAAATGGTCAGTTCTCCTGCCATGATACTAGACTATGTAGATAATTTAATCCATCTAACCTATCTGCCTATAGCAAGCAGCTCACACATTTCCCATCAGCGAGCAGAGATCATGTTAGCTACAGATATATACAGACATGTATAAGATATTCTGATACATGTCCTTTAATATTTATGATTTGATAAACCGCAGGGCTGAGAAGTTCTGTAGGATCGCAGACCAGCCCGTGAACTGAATTTCTGTTACTCCGTTCTTGTCGCTCAGTCACTGTTTGATAGATTTCTTGCTTGTTCCTGTCGGTGCTTCTTACTCTACTGCAGGATTTCTCCAGGAGCAACAATAACTCAGCAACTGGAGATAAATTAAAGACCAAACAAACATCTATTTTCCTCTTATTCTTTTTTTTTTTTTAACTTAAGTTCCAGCTTGACTGTTGCCCTTTTCAAGTGAACACGATCAATGAGACCCCGAGATTAAAGCACCCAGCACATTCAGTGTGTAATGTCATATCACTTCATTAGCAGCGTGTCAAATTGTACAAAGCAAGAGATGCAAGACTGACACTGCAGGGGGTCGCTCACATCAAACACCGCACACCCTCTTTTTCCCTTTGACACAAGCACCAACACACACTCGTATGTTCAAGGGCAGCCTCACAAGCGGACATGATACCCACGTATGGGGACACACAGCTGCTCTTAGCAACACTATCAACTAAACAACAACAGTCCAAACATGAGAAATAGTACGACTCGCTTATTTTCATCCATGCATATAAAAAGTGTGTGTGTGCTGCTGTATCTGAATGTAAAGAGAATGTATGGAAGTGGTACGTGCTGCCTGTAGGGGCGCAGCCTGCTTACATTAACATACTAATTAAACTGTTTCTGTGTGTGTGTGTGTGTGTGTGTGTGTGTGTGTGTGTGTGTGTGTGTGTGTGTGTGTGTGTATGTATCAGTGTTGTACGTGCAACAAGCATGTGTTCTACTTTCAAATAGGGATGCATTATTGTTCCGTCTCACTGTGTCTCCTCTACAGCAGCCTACCTAAATCCATCTCAGAAACTGTGCAGTGCCATATTTAAGAAACAGACAGAAAAAGAAAATGCATCGAACTGTCCCCTGTAAATGCCGGGATTTAATTCAAGCAGAGAGCAACCTTAATTTCCCCTGACAGAGTAAGATTCTGCGTACTGACAGGCCACATTTTGATGTTAAATAGATGTGTAACAAACAGCAGGCAGACACGATGTGACTGCAGTTTACAACAGCTGCAGGACTCACCACTCCTGCTTCTCGGCATCCTGGTCGAGACGCCGTTGGCTCTCCCCCCGTTGGGTGAACTGGTCGTGGCATTATCCACCGTGCTCAACTCAGCTCCCTGCTGCTTCAGCAGGTCCGTCAGGGTTCTGGGGAAGAACACACACACACACTGAGTTTAAATATCAACATGTAAGGAGATATCCAAAGATGATCCAGGTTGAAGCAAGGTTCACACACTATACATTCACCACCTTTTCATCGAGATGTGATCAAACTGGACGGCTTTGTTCACTTTTTGATGTTTTGTGCATGCCAAGAGGAATAAGGAAATACATGTTGTTGGCAACAGGTGCTATAGAGACTGAATTGCAAGAGCAAAAAATGACAAGATTGTTAAAAATATTTTTTCTATACATTTTGCTGCTTTGGGATCTCGTTCCAAAGCGGTCAAAGGAAGACTGCTCAGCCCAGTGTCTCACCAAATATTACCCCAAGTTCTATTATTTCATAAAAGTGACATCAAAAACATGAATTAAAGGGAGAAATAAGAAAAAGGAGCAATGATTTTTTTTTTTCCATCTGGTGTTCCACAGAGAAATCAGTCGCGGCACAAAACGACATCATCTGCTGACATCAAACATCATCTGTTGTCCAGATGTGTACAGTTTGTCCCCTATGAGGGCTTTCCTGAACAGCTGGAATCTTTGTGAGTACACACACACACACACACATGAATACACATGCAGCATCCCATTTACAGTACATCCTCTCAGAGAGGCTCTCTACTCAGTCTTTTGTGGAAATCGTGTACGACTAATGTGTATTTGTGTGTGTGTGTGTTTAGTTGGTACATTCGTTGATGATTCCCGCCTGCCTGTGTGTGCGACGTTATGTTTGAATTAAAGAAGAGTTGTTGTGGTGTCCCTCTTTATCTGCCGGGTCAGTGGAGAAGTTCAGGATAACACAAATGAACATAAATGATAACATGCTGCCATTAAAACACCAGGCCAACTTCTAAAGATGTTATTTATGATTTTTTTGTGTGTGCCTCTGTTCAAATCCTGTTCAGACATTCAATACCAAAACATTTTTATCAGTGGGTTTAAAGCCTCGTTTGGGTTTTACAGTATTTATATATCCAGCAAAGAGATGGTCACATCTGGCAGTGGTTAAGATTTGATTTTGACGTAAGCAGCTCCAAGTGAGCCAAAGATAGAAACACATGAAGGAAGCATCTGATGCCAAACGTTACGCTGTTATGCAACGATGATGTTGAACTTGACTTGAAAAATTATCTTATGAGCCTCATTATTCATCTTAATATTATGAATTTATACGTTTAACTAAGGTGTTTTAGTCATCATGAGTTATTAAGATATCGATTGATTGATTCCTTCACAGGAAAGTCTTCAGTTAAAGGGACAAGACAAAAAAAAGGGGCAACTCTGCTGAATTCCAGGTGTTGAAATCATGATGACTTCAGCCAGGGGGGATTCTAGGCAAAGATTAGTCAAAGTCAAAGTCAACTTTATTGTCAATTTCAAAATATGCCAGACATACAGTGGAATCGAAATTTCGTTTGTCTCCGTCAAAGGGAGTGTTTTATTTTTTACTTTATAAATCTGAGCCACAGATTTGTATTTGAATATGTCTTTTATGCTTGTATTTGTATTCAGAGTGTACATCATGAATAACTGCTTTTTTTCTCTCTTGATGCTTGCAGAGACAGATTTTCATTCAAAGTGGCTCACGTCCCTGTGGTGTGTTTTTATTCTGTGTGTCCTCTGGGATGAATTCCAGTCAGATGTACTAGCGGCCGTTTTAAAAAAAAAACTAAACGACATACGGCCATGATTTCCTACAATATGGTCATGTTTGGACTGAGGGTTTGGATGCAAAATGCAAAATGCAAACACTCACATTCTCTATCTGCTCAGCACCAGGGCTTTTCAACCGTTTCATGAACTCTCTAACGTTTAATGACACATGCTAACCGGCCACCCGAACCTCTTTTCCACAGCCGATGACACCCTTTTAATTTCACGCTAACACATATGCACACACATTCACACATATTCTCACACACACACACACACACACACACACACACACACACACACACACACAACACACACACACACACACACACAGAAGGCATACTTATCACTTTGAATAAACACATTTACGCTCCCTGTGTGTTTGCTGAACTTACAGTGTTGATGGTATTCATTCCCTTGATCAATAATTCAAACACTGGTGCCTCTGTTTCGCTAACGAAGCTTATGTGTTTATCTCCCTCTGCCACACACACACACACACATGCACAAACGCACACAGTACACACCGAACACACGTTCAGAAACATATGTGCAGGTAGACAAAAATCCACACAACCTACAGTATGACTGATCTGACAGCTGAGGCCAGGGGCAGCTTGTTCACACTCAACCTGCCAAACAGAAAAGTGAGACCCTTTGGCCTTTTCTCTGATCATCTCCAAACAATTTGTGAGTGTGACCATCTCATAGTGTCTCCTGCAGGGAGTCTTATTGCATTGCCCCTTACTGCACCACCACACACGCATTTCACAACCTCCCATGGCATAGCATTGTATCGAATCTCAATGCATCATATTGCATAGAATCACAGAATATCGCATCGCATCGCATCATATCGCATCGCATCGCATCATATCGCATCGTATTGTATCGCTTCACATCGCATCGTATCGCATCGCATCGCATCACATAATATCGCATCGTATGGCATCACATCATATCGCATCGTATCGCATCACATCGCATCGCATCGTATCACATATCGCATCGCATCGCATCATATCGCATCGTATCACATAATATCGCATCGTATCACATAATATCGCATCGTATCACATAATATCGCATCGTATCACATAATATCGCATCGTATCGTATCGTATCACATAATATCGCATCGTATCCTATCGCATCACATCGCATCGTATCGCATCACATCATATCGCATCACATCGCATCGTATCGCATCACATCATATCGCATCGTATCGCATAATATCGCATCGTATCGCATCATATCGCATCGCATCACATCGCATCGCATCATATCGCATCGTATCGCATCATATCGCATCGTATCGCATCGCATCGCATCACATCGCATCATATCGCATCACATCACATCGCATCTTATTGCATCGCATCATATCGCATCACATCGCATCGTATCGTATCGTATCGCATCATATCGTATCGCATCATATCGCATCGTATCGCATCGCATCGCATCGTATCACATAATATCGCATCGTATCATATCGTATCGTATCACATAATATCGCATCGTATCGCATCGTATCACATAATATCGCATTGTATCGCATCATATCGCATCATATCGCATCGCATCACATCACATCACATCGCATCACATCGCATCGTATCGCATCATATCGCATCGCATCACATCACATCACATCGCATCACATCGCATCATATCGCATCATATCGCATCGCATCACATCACATCACATCGCATCACATCGCATCGTATCGTATCGTATCGCATCGCATCATATCGCATTGCATCGCATCATATCGCATCACATCGCATCATATCGCATCACATCGCATCACATCGCATAATATCACATCGTATCGTGTCACATAGTATCGCATCGTATCGCATCGTATCGCATCGTATCACATAATATCGCATCGTATCGTATCGCATCACATTGCATCGTATCGCATCATATCGCATCGTATCACATAATATCGCATTGTATCGTATCGCATCATATCGCATCGCATCACATAATATCGCATCGTATCGTATCGCATCATATCGCATCGTATCGCATCGTATCATATTGTATCGCATCATATCGCATCGCATCATATTGCATCACATCGCATCGTATCGTATCGCATCATATCGCATCATATCCCATCATATCGCATCGCATCATATCGCATCACATCGCATCATATCCCATCATATCGCATCACATCACATCACATCTTATTGCATCGCATCATATCGCATCACATCGCATCATATCGCATCATATCGCATCGCATCATATCACATCATATCGCATCATATCGCATCACATTGCATCATATCGCATCATATCGCATCATATTGCATCGCATCATATCGCATCATATCGCATCACATCGCATCACATCGCATTGCATCATATCGCATCGCATCATATCGCATCATATCGTATCGCATCGCATCATATTGCATCGCATCATATTGCATCGCATCACATCGTACCGTATCTCATCATATCGCATTGATTGCATCACATCACATCAATATGCATCGTTTTGCATCATCGTTGCAAAGTAACGCATGGGAGTGGCATAGTGTTGTACTGCATCATATCGTATTGAATCATGGTGACGTAGTTATCTATCCAAAGTTAAATATTCTTTCTGTTGTGGATAATGTAATTCTGGGCTAAATGCTTGGTTTTGTGGCTGAAAGGAATTGTAGGAAATGTTGAAAAATAGACATGTTCACAGGAAAAGATAAAAGATAAATTACCATATGAATGACACTTTCATGAGTTTGAGGCTACTCTATTTCTGTATCGTTATTTTGTCTCACAATATTATATTCATTCATTCAAATCAATGCAGATCATAATCATCTTATTGTGAGTCCTTTCACACCCTCTGCATGCCTGTCTGGAAACAAATTTGGATGTGAAATTTTCCTCTTCTAAATATTTGCATTGCTTGACAAAAAAAGACTTTGAACGCCTCCTGATCTTTGTTCTTTCTCTGCAGCGTTGTAAAGGACTTCCTCTCTTCTTTACTATTCAATTCTTTTTTCCTTTCAGTCTTTTCATTCTGTCTACCTCCCTCCCTTTACCTAAACTCAGCCCTAAATCTGTCTGTCTTTTCCTCCCCCTCTTTAAACCGTATCGTTTGTCTTCCTCTCCTCCAGTCTCTCTCTCTCTGCTCTTCATCCTCTCACTGACTCACTGCCGTGTGGCGCCGCGGGCCTCCACGCACTCTTCTCTTGGCTTGCCGCTCAAACAACTTGCTGATTTTGGACTTTTAATCTGCAACCAAAAAAAAAAAAACATGTAACCTGTCTCCAGGCTATGTAGTGTTTATATAGTGTTG